TTAAAAATTAGCCTAATAATTTTTTTATATCAAAAAAACATTTACTGAGCTCGCGACAAGATAACATTTATGGTCTATGGCTATATCCCCTTTAGATATCATTTAATATCAGTATCCTTAAAAGATTGCATTCCCTTCATTTTGCTTCACACATGTGCCTGTTTGTCTTTGGATTCAAAGAATTGAGAGTCATGTTTTGCGCGTTATTTGAACTGCCATGTCACTCATTTTTAAATATTTTTTTAGTAATTTTAGTTTATTTTGATATACTAATGTTGAAAATTAAAATATTATTTTATTATAATTTTTTTTGGAAAAATATTTTTAAAAATAATCTAGACGTAAACACCCCCATGGATAATGATGGTCCCTGTTTCCTGCATATATAGCTTAAACTGTGTCTGTCTCCCTTATGTTTACTCCATATTTTCCGTTTGTCCCTTGCCAAGCGATCCATGTGAAGGAAGGGGTCAGTGATAGTGGCCCTTGGGAAACCATAAATGGAGGGCACCAACTACAAGCCTCGTGCATTATTCACTTCCACACAGCCTTGCAAACTGAACCATATCTCATCTTCTTTAGGGAAATCCACAGGCTGTTTCTTTATGCTGTGCTCGTAGAGATAGTGTCCTATGGATTAGATGGTGTTGCACCAAGAGCTACCCTTGATGATGCTTTGCTTCTTTTCTTTTCCCGTCTTCTACCATGACTCTGGCCAATTTTAATTTATTTTTTGTAACTAAATTACTAAACATTTTACTTATTTTCTGTAACAATAGAGTGAAGTCCGCAATCATTCCCTTTGGGTGTTGCATGAAAACCAATCTTGCTCAAAAAATGAAAAACAAAAATTGGGTAAGAATTTAGTAATGCGGGATCAGCTTTCCTACGTTGCCTTTGATTTGCTCTTCAGCTGGGCTAGAGCTATATATATTTTTTTAATTAATTAATGTGAGTATCTAAGCTTGTATATATCTTTATTAATGCTACGAGTTTTGAAATTAATAATCATATAAGTATCTAGTGATTTTAAAAAAATTCAAACTCGTGATTATTAAACAACAAACTCAAAACACAACTAGTTAAATTACCTTTCAGAGTTTGGATAGAGCTATAATTAAAATAATAAGAGGAAAAGGTGGGAAAAAAAAAAGGATGAGAGGGGATTTTTTATTGTTGTTATAGTGCCCTAGCAAAGATTCATAGGTTAGGAGTGAAGATGACTTAAGGATACAAAGCCCATTTCCCTTCTATTCCAAGCATAAAAAGCCCAAATCAACACAATTTTAGTTTATATTTGGTTTTTAGATAGTTTTTATGATTATAATTTAAAAAATAAATTTTAAAAAAATAAGAATAAAAAAGTTTTTTTTTTTGTTATAGTGCCCTAGCAGAAATTTATAGGCTAGTGATGAAGATGACTCAAGAACACAAAGCCCATTTCCCTCCTATTCCAAGCATAAAAGGCCCAAATCAACACAATCTTAGTTTATATTTGTTTTCAAGATAGTTTTTATAATTATAATTTAAAAAATATAATTAGTTGGATTTAAATATGTGTTCGGTAAAAAATATTATTAAAGTTCATGTTCAGCAAAAAACAAATAAAAAATGTTTGGCTATGATTATTTTTTAAAAATATTTTTTACTTGAAAATATATATATTTTTATAATTATTTTTTATATACCAAATCAAAATGATCTGAAAATATAAAAAAAATTAAATTAAAGAAAAAAATAAAAAAAATTAAATTTCTTTTAAAATATTTTTGAAATGCAAAAATAAACAGAATTTTATGAAACTTAATTAAAAATATATATAAAAACACCCTCACAAAAATTACATTTCAAACTTATTTTTTAAATAAATCTTATATAATAAAATACATTTTAATAAATTACCAAGCATCTAACTATAATTTGTACACCGCAGACATAAAATCTAAGAATAAATAAACGCACCCTTACAATGGGTTTAAGGTGAAATCTGTGCTAGGGAAAGTAGCTGGCTTGAGCGGGGGTGTTATTAAAGCCGTTAAG